TGTCTAAGGTCAACAGTTTTTAGTCCTTTTCCATTAATATTAAAATAATTTAAGTATTATAATAAGAACTGGTCATATGCTAATTTAAAAGGTAACACACTAGATTTATTTATTTATTTTTTATTTTTGGAGATGGGGTCTTACTCTGTTTCTTGGGCTGGAGTGTAGTAGCACCTTCTTAGCTCACTGCAGCCTTGAAATCATGGGCTCATGTTATCCTTCCACTTTAGCCTCCTGAGTAGCTGGGACTTCAGGCATGTGCCACTATGCTGGCTAATTTTTTAAGTTTTTGGTAGAGACTGGGTCTCGCTATGTTGCCCAGGCTGGTCTTAAACTGCAAGCCTCCAGTAATCCTCCTGCCTCGGCCTCCGAAATACTGAGATTACAGGCATGAGCCACCATGCCTGGCCTAGATTTATAATAAAAATTATGAGTAACAGCTAGGCATGGTGGCACATGCCTGTAATCCCAGCACTTTGGGAGGCTGTGGTGGGCGGATCACCTGAGGTCAGGAGTTTGAGACCAGGCTGGCCAATATGGTGAAACGCTGTTTCTACTAAAAATACAAAATTAGCCAGGTGTGGTGGTGCACAACTGTAGTCCCAGCTACTTGGGAGGGTGAGGCAAGTGAATCGCTTGAACCTGGAGACAGAAGCTGTAGTGAGCCGAGATCATGCTACTGCATTCCAGCCTGGGAGACAGAGTAAGACTCTGTCTCAAAAGTAAATAAATAAATAATGGCTTGGGCATGGTGACTCACACAGTAATCCCAATGCTTTGGGAGGTCAAAGAGGGAGGATCACTTGAGCCCAGGAGTTCAAGGCTACAGTGAGCCATATTCATGCCACTGCACTATAGCTTTGGTAACAGAACAAGACCTTGTCTCTAAAAAAAAAAAATTAAAAAGAATATATAGCCTTCTCACAGTATCCCATCAATCTTTAGAATGATTCTTCGCTGATTCAGATTCACCCATGAGATCCAACATGTATTTGTCCCACAGTGAACTCCATTCTACAGCAACATAACACAATGGAGTTTCAGTTAATTCCAGAGGCTGGCCAACTACTTACTCAAAGTTGCAAAAGAATACAAGCTAGCAAAAAACGTAAGTTAGATCTGAAAACAGAATCAAATCCTGTGAGCCTGAGTCTAAACTTACAGCTCACCAGGATCATAATATTCTCTTGAAAGGTCAAATGTATTTTTTAAGTGGCTAAAGGTACATCACTTGACAGCAAAGCCAGACTAAGCATAAGAAAAAATACAGACCACTATCTCTTGTGAATATTGGTGCAAAAATCCTCACTAAATACTAGCAAAACAAATTCAACAGCATATGAAGAGGGTTATACACCATGACCAAGTAGAACTTATTCTTAGAAGGTAAGGATAATTTGAAATAAGGAAATCAATCTGTATAACACACCATATTAAAAGGACAAAGGGAAAATGGCCACATAATCATTTCAAGTGATACAGGAAAGCATTTGACAAAATTTAACACCCTTTCATGATAAAAAATACTCCAAAAGCTAGGAAGAGAGAAGGAAACTACCTAAACAAAATAAAGGATATACAGTAATCCCTTGGTATACACAGGAGATTTCTTCCAGGAGCCCCTGCATATACCTGAATCTATGCATACTCAAGTCCTCCATTTCGCCCTGTAGAATCCCCATGTACAAAAAGATGGCCCTCTATATACACAGGTATCACATCCCTCAAATACTGTATTTTCATTCTGTGTCGGCTGAAAAAAATTTGTATACAAGTGGACTTGTACAGTGCAAAAACATGTTGTTCAAGGGTCAACTGTATATAAAAAACCCACAGCTAACATCATTCTCAAATTGAAAACCTGAAAGGTGTTCCTCTAAGATCAGGAGTAAAACAAGGATGTTTGCTTTCACCACTTGTATTCAACATAGAACTGGAATTCCTAGCCAGAGCAATTAGGCAGGAAAAAGAAATTCAAATCGGAAAGAAAGAAGTAAAATTATCTTTGTTCATAGATGACAAAATCTTATGTATGGAAAACTCAAAAAACCTAAAGAACCCATAAAACCTGACAGAACTAATAAATAAATCAGCAAAGCTTCAAGATAAGAAAATCAATACAACATCACTTGTGTTCCTTTACATTACATTAATGAACAATCTAAAAAATGAAATTAAGACAATTCCACTTACTTACAATAGCATCAAAAATAATACAATACTTAGGAATAATCTTAAGCAAGGACTTGTCTTACAAAAGACATATACTGAAAACTACAAAATGTTGCTGAAGAAATTAAAGAAGACGTGAATGAAAAGACATCCTATGATCATGGACTGGAAGACTTAATATTCTTAAGATGTCAATGCTAGCCAATGCAATGTCCATATTCAAGGCAATCTCTGTCAAAATTCCAACAATGTTTTTGCAGAAAGAGAAAAATCTATCCTAAAACTCATACAGACTCTCAAGAAATCTTGAATAGCTAAAACAATCTTAAGAAAGAAAAATAAAGTTGGAGGTCTCACATTTCCTGATTTTAAAACTTTTGACACAAAGCTATGGTTATCAAAACAGTGTGGTACTGAATACAGATAGACATATAGTCCAATTAATAGAATAGAGAGTCCAGAATTAAACTCCCATATCTATGCTCAAGTGACTTTTCAACAAGGATTCTAAGCTCATTCAATGGAAAGGGCAGTCTTTCAACAAATAGTGCTGGGAAAAGATATCCATGTGTAAAAGAATGACTTTAGACCCTTATCTAACACCATATACAAAATTAAAATGGGCTGGGTGTAGTGGCTCATGGCTGTAATCCAGCACTTTGGGAGGCTGAGGCGGGCAGATCACTTAAGCTCACAAGTTCCAGACCAGCCTGGGCAACATGCTGAAACCCGTCTCTACAAAAAAATGCAAAAACAGGCCAGGTGTGGTGGCTCATGCCTGTAATCCTAGCACTTTGGGAGGCCAAGGTGGCTGAATCACCTGAGGTCAGTAGTTTGAAACCAGCCTAACCAGTATGGTGAAACCTCGTCTCTACTAAAAATACAAAAATTAAACGGGCGTGGTGGCATGTGCCTGTAGTCCCAGTTACTCAGGAGGCTGAGACAGGAGAATTGCTTGAACCCAGGAGGCAGAGGTTGCAGTGAGCCGAGACTGTGCCACTGCACTCCAGCCTGGGCAACAGAGTGAGACTCTGTCACAAAAAAAAAAAAGAAAATTAGCTGGGCATGGTGGCACATGCCTGTAGTCTCAGCTGCTCGGGGCGTTGAGGTGGGAGGATCATTTGAATCCGGGAGGCGGAGGCTGCAGTGAGCTGTGACTGCGCGACTGCACTCCAGCCTGGGTGACAAAGTGAGACTGTCTCAAAAAAAAATAGACATAATAAATATAAGAGCTAAAAACTATAAAACTCTTAGATGAAAACATAGGGGAGAAGTTTTATAATACTGGATTTGGCAATTATTTCTTGTATATGACACCAAAAACAGAGACAAAAATGAAAGAATAAATTGACTTTATTAAAATTAAAAACTTTCATGTGTCAAGAACACCATCAATGGGATGAAAAGACAACCCATAGAATGGGAGAAAATACTTGTAAATAGTATATTTTATAGGGATTAATATCTAGAATACATAAAGAACTCCTACAATTCAACAAAAACAAAACCCATAATTTAAAAATGGCAAAAGACTTGAATAGACATTTCTACAATGAAGATATATAGATGAGCAAAAACACATGAAAAGATACTCAATATTACTAATCAGTAGGGAAATGAAAATCGAAATTATAATAAGATGTATCTTTACACCCATTGGATGGCCATTATCAAAAAAACAAACAAACCAGAAAACACGAAATGTTGGCAAGGATGTGAAGAACTTGGAACACTTGCGCCTTGCTGGTGGGAATATAAAATGGTCCAGCCACTGTGGAAAACGGTACGGTGGTTCCTCAGAAAATGAAATACTAAATTACTCTCCCATTTCTGGGAATATACCCAAAGAAATTGAAAGCAGAGACTTGAATAGATATTTGTTGCTATTTTTTTTCTTCTTAAGACAGGGCCTTGTTCTGTTGCCCAGGCTGGAGTGCAGTGGTGCGATCTTGGCTCACTGTAGCTTCAACCTCCTGGGCTCCAGTGATCCTCACACCTCAGCCTCCAAAATAGACAGGACTATAGGCATCTGCCACCACACCTGGCTGTTTTTTTTTTTGTTTTTGTTTTTTTTTTTTAAATAGAGATAAGGTCTCACTGTGTTGCCCAGAGTGGTCTCAAACCCCTGGGTTCAAGTGATCCTCCTGCCTCAGCCTCACAAAGCGCTGGGTTTACAGGCATGAGCAACCATGCCTGGTTTGAACAGACACCTGTACACAAATGTTCACAGCAGCATTATTCACAATAGCCAAAAGGTAGAAGCAACCCAAATGCCCATCAACAGATGAATGAATAAACAAAATGTGGTATTAAATAGAAAGCATATTCATACGATGGAATATTTTTCTTTTGTTCTTTTTTTCTTTTCTTCATACAATGGAATATTATTCAGCCTTGAAAAGGAAGGAAATTCTGGCACAAGCTATATGGATGAACCTAGAAAACATTATGCTAAGCCAGTCACACACAAAAAACAAAAACAAATACCGTATGATTTCACTCATATGAGGAACCTAGAGTAGTCAAATTCACAGAAACAGAAAGTAGAATAGTAGTTGCCAGAAGCTGGGGAAAGGGAGAAATGGATACAGAATTTCAGAATGAGAAGATGAAAAAGTTCTGAAGATAGATGGTAGTAATACTGAAAAGCTGCACAACAATGTGAATGTATTTAATACCATTGAACTGTACACTTAAAAATGGTTAAAATGGTAAATTTTGTGTTATGTATATTAGGAAAAAAACAGACCAAAGTCTGTCTCTGTTACTCAATCTTTCTTCCATATTATTTAATAGAAACTCTTTTTAAATGCTGTAAAAACACATACCTTTCTGTAAAAGAGTGCTAAGGACCCAGTTCTCTTTGGCCTGCTTATTCCAGTTGAATGTACCTCTTGTGCTTTAGTCAGACTGGTCTGTTTTGGAGAAGCACCAATTAATGAATGAGCAGTAAGTGATACAGGACTCTTGACTTTGGACTCTTGATTTGTATTCATGGAAATAGGTAGTGTGATCTCTGCAGCATCATTTGCAACACCTGAATGTATAAGCATTATTAGAAATAATCTGCATATGTTCTAGGAAAGTTGTCAACTATATATATTTTGTCAATTATATATATACATATATGTGTGTGTAAGAAGGCTACAAAATAGTAATTCTAGGTTATGATTGATTTTTTTTTTTTTTTTTTTGAGACAGGATCTCCCTTGGTCACTCAGGCTGGAGTGCAGTGGCGCCATCTCAGCTCACTGTGGCCTCGACCTTCTGGGCTCAAGTGATCCTCCCACCTCAAGCCCTGCAAATAGCTGGGACTACAGGTGCAAGCCACCAGGCCTGGCTAACTTTTTTTTTTTTTGAGGTGGAGTCTTGCTTTGTCACCCAGGCTGGAGTGCAGTGGTGTGATCTCAGCTCATTGCAACCTCTGCCTCCCAGGTTCAATTCTCCTGCCTCAGCCTCCTGAGTAGCTGTAACTACAGGCGCATGCCACCACACCCAGCTAATTTTTAAAATATTTTCAGTAGAGACGGGTTTCACCATGTTAGCCAGAATGTCTCGATCTCCTACCTCGTGATCCACCCTCCTTGGCCTCCCAAAGTGCTGGGATTACAGTCGTGAGCCACCGTGTCCGGCCTATATTTTTTTAGAGATGGGAGTTTTGCCATATCACCCAGGTTAGTCTCGAACTCATGAGCTCAAGCCATTTGCCTGCCTCGGCCTCCCAAAATGCTAGGATTATAGGCATGAGCCGCTGCAGCTAGCCATTTTTTTTTTTTTTTGAGATGGAGTCTCACTCTGTCACCCAGGTGGGAGTGCAGTGGCCTGATCTCGGCTCACTGAGACCTCTGCCTCCCAGGTTCAAGCAATTCTCCTGCCTCAGCCTCCTGAGTAGCTAGGACTATAGGCATGCACCACCACACCCGGCTAATATTTTTTCTGTATTTTTAGTAGAGACAGGGTTTCACCACGTTTGCCAGGCTGGTCTCAAACTCCTGACTTCAAGTGATCCACCTACCTCAGCCTCCCAAAGTGCTAGAATTACAGGCATGAGCCACTGTGCCGGGTATCCCCACCTTTTTTTTTTTTTTTTTTTTAAGACAACGTCTTGCTCTGTTGTCCTGGCTGGAGTACAGTTGCGTGATCACGGCTCACTGTAGCCTCAAATTCCCAGGCTCAAGTGATTCTCCTGCCTCAGCCTCCCAAGTAGCTGGGACCACAGGCACACATCACCACGCCAGCTAATTTAATTTTTTGTAGAGATAGGATATTGCTATGTTGCCCAGTCTGGGTCTCAAACTCTTGGGCTAAAGTGATCCTCTTGCCTCAGTCTCCCAAAGTGCTGGGATTACAGGTGAAAGCTACCATGCCCCATATAAATTCTTATTTTCCAGAAACAAGAATATTCGGTTTTGTTTTCCTACTTTAAATTTATTGAAAAAAAAGCAAATTTTGTTCTCATTTTGTATGTGCCTGTGATGCGTTTATAGTTTAAATTTATTGGAAAAAAAAGCAATTTTTTAAACATTTTGAGCACTTGAGATGTTAGTCAAAAAACAGAATTTTTGCTCAGTACATACATATTGGTAAGCTCAGATAAGAACATTTTAAAAGTTTTAAAAGTAGCTCAGAAGTTCGAGACCTGGGCAACATGGTAAAACCCCATCTGTACCACAAATACAAAAAAATTAGCTGGGAGTGGTGGCACTTGCCTGTGGTCCCAGCTACTCAGGCTGAGGTGGGACAATCACTTGAGCCTGGGAGCAGAGGTTGCAGTGAGATGAGATCATGCTGCTGTACTCCAACGTGGGTGACAGAGTGAGATCCTGTCTCAAAAAATAAAAACAGAAGAAAAGAAAAAGTAAAATCAGTCTAAACAAACAAAGAGGACAGTAAATTTATAAAATTTGAAAAAAAAAACAACTATAGATTCAAAACAAAAGACAAGGTGGAGCACAGAGGATTTATAGGGCAGTGAAACTACTCTGTATGCAGCTATAGTGACAGCCACATGTCATTATACATTCTCAAAATCAATAAATTATTCAATACCAAGAGTGAACCCTAATGTAAACTATGGGCTTTGGGTAATGTGTCAATAATGTAGGTTCATCAACTGTAACAAATGTAGCATTCTGGTGTGGAATACTGATAATGGGGGAGGCTCTACATGCCTCTGGTAGGAGAAGGGGGAATATGAGAAATGTCTGTACCTTCCTCTGAATTTTGCTGTGAATCTACAACTGCTCTAAAAAATCAAATCTATTTTAAAAAAAAGTATAGATTCAAGAGAAAATAATGAGTTAGAAAAACCGGCTGGGCGCGGTGGCTCAAGCCTGTAATCCCAGCACTTTGGGAGGCCGAGATGGGCGGATCACGAGGTCAGGAGATCGAGACCATCCTGGCTAACACGGTGAAACCCCGTCTCTACTAAGAAATACAAAAAATAGCCGGGCGAGGTGGCAGGCGCCTGTAGTCCCAGCTACTCGGGAGGCTGAGGCCAGAGAATGGCGTGAACCCGGGAGGCGGAGCTTGCAGTGAGCTGAGATCCGGCCACTGCACTCCAGCCTGGGCTACAGAGCGAGACTCCGTCTCAAAAAAAAAAAAAAAAGAAAAAGAAAAACCATGTGATCTAATCCACTAAGACATTTCTTAAATTTTTATCTCAGAAAAAATATAAAACAAATGCACTATAACGTTACCATGTGATGGAATTATAACTTTATGTCCTGTTGTTCCTGTTAATGGGGCTGTGGCCATTGTTAGAAGAGTTTGACCAGGTAAAATTGATACATTTTCAGCAGTAATGCTTGAAGAAGGAGCGATTTTCAATTTTGTTCCTTCTGTTATGATCTTGCCCATAAGCATTTCCTTTGGTGGGTCCTCTCCAAAGAGTCTTCTCTTAGCACTCCCTGCGGTAGGAGAACTGTAGCGTTCATGGACAGAAATTGGAGACAATGGTTGCATATCTAAAAAAAATAATAATAAATTTAAAACAGAAATGTATTCCAAAATAATAAATTAGGTTTACTCATTCACTCAACAGATAGTGAGTTGAGATACTTATGCTGGGCACTAGCTAGATATGAATAACATGGCCTTTGCCCTCATGGAATATATAGTCTACTGGGAGAAAGAGGCATGAAATAAGTCACTATGGTAAAACGTGAAAATTACGATCACTCATCTTCCTGGTTTCTTGAACCTCTGCCTAAATTAAAGGAGCAAAACATTAAGGATAAAGTAGAGGCTGAGAGGTAGAATGATGTGAGCACTAAATTTTAGTAATAGTCCAATATCTCCCAATCATACCTAGTAAAGAGCACCTGAGAAGAAGGGAAGCAAAAGCAAAATCAGGAATTTGGGTCACAGTTTTGCCTCTTTGTGCATATTTGCACTCCCAGCAATTTAAGGCAGTAGCTCTGGCTTTCTAATTCAGTAGATATGGAATCATCTTCAGTAAATCCATCAGAAGATATGAGTAAAGATGATATAAATCTGCTTACCTTGCCTTAATCTGAAGGTTGGCAGTAGTGTGTTGATCAAAAATAAAGTAAGGATTATGGATTTTGCCTTTCTTCCTGTGCTATCCTTTCACAGGATCTGCTTTCCATTCCCTCTCTACCAGCTGCACGGCTTTTTCTAGCCCCTTACAACCCTACATCTTTTCTAAATCTTTTTCCACAATTCTTCCCTCAACCAATGATTCCTTACAGGTAGGTCAATAATATGCTTTTAAAGCCAAAGTATTTATTTATTTATGAGAATGGAGTCTCGCTGGACTGCAGTGGTGCAATCTCAGCCTACTGTGACCTCCACCTCCTGGGTTCAAGCAATTCTCCTGCCTCAGCCTCCCAAGTAGCTGGGACTACAGGCGTGTGCCACCATGCCTGGCTAATTTTTCTATTTTCAGTAGAGACAGGGTTTCACCATGTTGGCCAGGCTGGTCTTGAACTCCTGACCTCAGGTGATCCACCTGCCTCAGTTGGGATTACAAGCTTGAGTCACCATGCCCAGCCTTCATTATTTATTTTTACATTCACTAATTAGATAGTCATGTAATCTACTTTCTTTTTCTTTTTTTTTGAGATGGAGTCTTGCTCTGTTGCCCAGGCTGGAGTGCAGTGGTATGATCTCAGCTCACTGCAAGCTCCATCTCCTGGGTTCACACCATTCTCTTGCCTAAGCCTCCCGAGTAGCTGGGACTACAGGCGGCCACCACCACACCCAGCTAATTTTTGTATTTTTAGTAGAGATGGGGTTTCACCGTGTTAGCCAGGATGGTCTCGATCTCCTGACCTCGTGACCTGCCCACCTTGGCCTCCCACAGTGCTGGGATTACAGGCATGAGCCACCGTGCCTGGCCCTGTAATCCATTTTCAAAACATGCTTAAAAGGTATTAAAATGACCCCTAGCGATGATTTAGAAGCTCTCTGTATTAGTGAGATGATTGGGAAAATAGTAACAGTTTAATAAAAATCTTTCCATAATTCTTGGGCTTATGAAAGTAGCTTTTACTTCCCGTCTTCAGTAAACAAGTGCAAATTTCTATAGTAGTTTCCATTACTCCTTTACAAGAGTTCATGTGAATGCCTTATATCTAAGAAATCCACGTAAGCCCTTGAATCTGACTAGGTACATTCAAAGGTGACATTTCAAGGCAAGACTCGAGCTGAAGCCATAAAGTTAGCTGCAAATCCCTTGAAATGATCTTTACTATTCTTGGTAAGTTTTTAAAAAAGAAAATAATTCCCAATATTTTGAAAGTTTTAAATTATAGTATACTGAATATTTTTACTATTTTTTCATTTATCTAAACATTAATAACTGACAGTAAGAAGAGCCTTTTTTTGTTTAACATTTTGACAAGATTTGTAAAGGTCAAAAAACAATTATAATTATTCCCAATAATTAAAATTACTGAGTATTCACATCTTATGCAATCTTGTTTTTTTTTTTTTTTTTTTTTTTTTCCCGGAGACGGAGTCTCACTCTGTTGCCAGGCTGGACGCAGTGGCACAGTCTCGGCTCACTGCAACCTCCACTCCTGGTTCCAGCAATTCTCTTGCCTCACTCTTGTCTTAGCCTCCCAAGTAGCTGGGACTACAGGGGCACACTGCCATGCTTGGCTAATTTTTTGTATTTTAGTAGGGTCTGGTTTCCACTGTGTTGCCCGGGCTGGTCTTGAACTCCTGAGCTCAGGCAATCCGCCTGCCTCAGCCTCCCAAAGTGCTAGGATTACAGGTGTAAGCCACTGCGCCAGGCTTTTTTTTTTTCTTTTGAGATAGAGTCTTGCTCTGTACCCAGGCTGGAGTACAGTGGTACCATCGCTGCTCACTGCAAACTCCATCCCCTGGGTTCAAGCAATTCTCTTGCCTTAGCCACCTGAGCAGTTGGGATTACAGGTGTGTACCACCATGCCTGGCTAATTTTTGTATTTTTAGTAGAGACGGGGTTTCACCATGTTAGCCAGGCTGGTCTCGAACTCCTGACCTCAGATGATCCACCTGCCTCGGCCTCTCAAAGTGCTGGGATTACAGGCGTGAGCCACTATGCCTGACTTTATGCCCTTACGCAATCTTTTTTTTTTAGGGATGGAGTCTCGCTTTGTCACCCAGGCTAGAGGGCAATGGTGTGATCTCAGCTCACTGCAACCTCCGTCTTCCAGGTTCAAGTGATTCTCTGCCTCAGCCTCCGGAATAGCTGGGATTACAGGCACCCACCACCACGCCCAGCTAATTTTTGTATTTTTAGTAGAGATGGGGTTTCTCCATCTTGGCCAGGCTGGTCTTGAACTCCTGACCTCATGATCCACCCGCCTCAGCCTCCCAAAGTGCTGGGATTACAGGCGTGAGCCACTGCGCCCGGCCTTTTTTTTTTCTTTTTGAGACAGAGTCTTGCTCCATCCCCCAGGTTGGGGTCCAGTGGTGTGATCTTGGCTCACTGCAACCTCCTGGGTTCAAGTGATTCTCCTGCCTCAGCCTCCTGAGTAGCTGGGATTACAGGCACTCGCCACCACATCCAGCTAATTTTTGTGTTTTGAGTAGAGACGGGGTTTCATCATGTTGGCTAGGTTGGTCTTGAACTCCTGACCTCAGGTGATCTGCCCGCCTCGGCCTCACAAAGTGCTGGGATTACAGGTGTGAGCCACTGTGCCTGGCCTGCAGTCGTTTTTATGATCCTGCATTGCATGTAAAGCAAAGACTGCAGACGGGCAGACAGACAAACACACATACACAATCACACAGAGTCCAAAAATGGATGTACCATACTATGTAACCTGGATACTTGTTCATCTAAGATTTGTTAAGGGATACTATGTGGTCAGGAGATTTTAACTGATTTTTTAAAATCCAAGAACTATATAATCCACAAGATGCACACATCAGCTCGCTACGTCACAAGAGAAAATAAGGAAGAATGAACTAAAATATTTCTATTGGTGAGTTTCAAAATGAACTATTTTAAGAGTATAAATAACTAGTTTATTAGATGAACTTAAGCATTCCAAAGATAATACAAATTTTATTTTGCTTTAAATGTTTTTCTACAGAGACATACACAGGCAAAGCAAGAATATAAATTTGTGAAATTTGGAAAAGTAGGTATTTAGCTTAGTGATACGGTTTGGCTGCATCCCCACCCAAATCTCATCTTGATCGTCATTCCCATAATTCCGTGTCATGGGAGGGACCAGGTGGGAGGTCATTGAATCATGGGGGTGGGTCTTTCCCATGCTGTTCTCCTGATAGTGAATAAGTCTCACGAGATCTGATGATTTTATCAAGGGGAGTTCCCCTGCACAAGCTCTCTTGCCTGCTGCCATGTAAGAGGTGCCTTTGCTCTTCCTTTGCCTTCCACCATGATTGTGAGGCTTCCCCAGTCATGTGGAACTGTGAGTAAATCAAACCTCTTTCCTTTATAAATTACCTAGCTTTGGGTATGTCTTTATTAGCAGCATGAGAAGAGACTAATACACTTATCTTTTTTTTCCTTTCTTCTTTTTCTTTTTTTTGGGACATGAGGGGGGTCTCACTATTTTGCCCAGGCTGGGTTCAAACACAATCCTCAATCCTCCTGCCTCAGCCTCCTGAGTAGCTAGGACTACAGAAAGATGCCATCATGCCTGACGTTAGCTTATTTAAACAGTTCTCCATTAGCATTCAGGAAAGATTACATACATTTATTAAATAAATTATATTTAAAATTCTATTAATATAGTATACACTATAGTATATAATATATATATTATAGTATATAATGTAGTGTACAATGAGCTACACAGGGGTGCTGGCACAAGCATCAAGCTCCTTTTTGAATCCTGCTGAAAAAATTAGATTTCTTAATAATATACTCACAAGACTTAAAATTTTCTCTGAAAAGAAACCCAAATACCCTTTGTTACTTTTTCATTCCTTTACCAATGTTGAACCTACCTCTTCGAAGACTCCCACTGTCAGTTCGAACTTCCTTGACTCTTGGGTGCATTAGAGGAGACATTGGCATCATGGGAAGATGTCCCTGTACATTTCCTCCATTTCCTGTTTCAAAGTTATTTGGGAATATAACCTGTAGAAAACAAAAACCCTTGGGTTTACATATAAACTTGCTGATTAAAACTTATTAAAAATGTTTTCTTTTCTTTTCTTTTTTGAGATAAAGTCTCACTCTGTTGCCCAGGTTGGAGTGCAGTGGCACGATTTCGGCTCACTGCAACCTCCACCTCTCGGGTTCAAGTAATTCTCCTGCCTCAGCCTCCTGAGTAGCTAGGACTACAGGTGCATGCCATCACACCCAGCTAATTTTTGTATTTTTAGTAGAGACGAGGTTTCACCATGTTGGCCAGGCTGATCTCGAACTCCTGACTTCAGATGATCCACCCACCTCAGCCTCCCAAAGTGCTGGGATTACAGGCGCGAGTCACTGTGCCTGGCCGAAAAAGTGTTTTCTTAACTTTTATTTTTTACTATTTTATTTCTCTTTCTCACTTCTTCACAAAATACAACTTGGATAAAGTGCTCAATTCTTAATGTTAACAAACTTATGGAAAGAGTTCATTTCATTTAACCTTATAATTTATATAGGTAAGTTACCAACCACAAGAACTAAACTTATGAGGTAGGCAGTATCATTCTCCATTTAGGGATGAGAAAATTGAGGATCTGAAGGTGAAATTTGCCCAAGGTCATACAACTAGTAAGTTATAAGAGCAACAGCTTCAATACTAATCCTTCTTCGAGTTCACAGCTTTTTTGAACTTGAAGGAGTTTGAAGTTCTTCAATGGAAATAAACTGATGAACACTGAAGAGTGGCCCAGTAAGTTACTGTCTGCTGCAAAAGACCAAAGAAGTATGGAAGAGAGATTTCAAGCAACCATCTTCTTTTCAATTCCTCCTGGCCTTGGATAGCTCTAGTAGTTTGGGATTAGGGAAAAATTCAAGAAGACTAATGAAGTACATAAGGAGACAAAACAAAGAAGAATCAAAAGACAGGAGTTACAAAAGAATAACAGAAGTAGAGAAAAAAAAACACCTCGATTTCTCACATGATACTACTATTAAAATGTAATTTGTGTACAACTCTGGGCACACATTTTTAATTTTTATTTATTTATTTATTTAATTTTTTTTGAGACAGAGTCTTGCTCTGTTGTCCAGGCTGGAGTGCAACAGCACCATCTCAGCTCACTGCAACCTCCGCCTCCCGGGTTCAAGCAATTCTCCTGCCTCAGCCTCCCAAGTAGCTGGGATTATAGGTGTGTGCCACCATGCCCGGCTAATTTTTTTGTATTTTTAGTAGAGACAGGGTTTCACCATGTTGGCCAGCCTGGTCTCGAACTCCTGACCTCAGGCAATCCACCCGCCTTGGCCTCCCAAAGTGCTGGGATTACAGTCATGAGCCATTGTGGCCGGCCTTTGTTTTTTATTTTTTAATTCTAAATGCCACTAATGAAAAGTGTTCAATCTTTATACAGACATTTGAAAAATTTTAAATAAGTTTAACGGTTTCCTAGACATGATACCAAAAAGCACAAGCAGAAGAAAAAAAGATCTGAATTGGACACCATCAAAATTAAAAATATTTGCATTTCAAAGACACCATCAAGAAAGTGAAGACAGGCCAGGCGCAGTGCCTCATACCTGTAATCCCAGCACTTTGGAAGACCATCCTAGCTAACACGGTGAAACCCCTTCTCTACTAAAAATACAAAGAAATCAGCTGGGCGTGGTGGTGGGTGCCTATAGTCCCAGTTACTCGGGAGGCTGAGGCAGAGAATTGCTTGAACCGGGAGGCAGACGTTGCAGTGAGCCGAGATTGCGCCACTGCATTCCAGCCTGGGTGACAGAGCAAGACTCCGTCTTAATAAAAGAAAAACAGAAAGAAAAAAAAATTAGCCGGGTTTGGGTGTGGTGGTATGTGCCTGTGGTCTCAGCTACTTGAGAGGCAGAAGGGCCGTTTGGGCCGAGGAAGTTGAGGGTGCAGTCAGTGTGCCACGTTTGCAACACTGCACACCAGCCCGGGCAACAGAGGGAAACCCCACCTTAAAAAAAAAAGAGGAAATGAAATACTGATACATTCTACAACATGGATGAACCTTAAAAACATTATGCTAAGCGACAGACACCCAGTCAAAAGGAACTACATTTTTATGATTCCATTTATATGAAATGTCTAGAATAGGCAAATTTACGGAGACAGAAAGTAGATTAGCAGTTACTTAGAGCTAGGGAGAAGATATAGGGGTAGGGAAGTGATAGCTAAAGGATGTACGTTTCTTTTTGAAGTGATGAATATATTCTAAAATTGTGGTTATGGCTGCACATATCTATTTATATACTAAAACCACTGAATTGTACACTTAAAATGGGTGAACTGTATGGCATAGGAATTCTCTCTCAATAAAGCTGTTTTATTTTTTATTTTTTTTAATGATAGGATTATCAGCCTTGCCCAGACTCACTTCTTCACAGGTAGGAACTTTGTTTGCAGAAACCTGGAGAGCCTCCCATAGTGCAGAATCATGACTCCATGCTAAACTCTCCAAAATCTGTTCTTCAATGCTGTTCAGGTGTTTCACCATGTCCCTCGAGAGCCCCTCTTCTGAGCGGATCACCACCTCAATAACCTGCAGAGGAGAAAGGTGAGAAGGCAATGTGGTTTCAAGCAGTTAGTTCTAGTCTGGACTTGCATGTAGGACTAGCTGTGGCTTTCTTCTTCTTTTTGAGACAGAGTTTCCCTCTATTGCCCAGGCTGGAGAGCAGTGGTGCGATCTTGGCTCACTGCAACCTCTGCCTCACGGGTTCAAATGATTCTCCTGCCTCAGACTCCCGAGTAGCTGGGATTACAGGCACCTGCCACCACACCTGGCAAATTTTTGTAGTTTTTAGTAGAGCTGAGGTTTCACCATGTTGGCCAGGCTGGTCTAGAACTCCTGACCTCAGGTGATCTGCCCGCCTAGGCCTCCCAAAGTGTTGGGATTACAGGTGTGAGTCACTGCACCCGGCCACTGTGGCCTTATTCTGTGGCACAGAACCAAAATCATCTTTGAACCATAATTCTGTGGCTTACTAACATCTTCTAATTTATAAAGGAGCTTATAAGTTCTTTAAAATATGTTCACATACATTTCTGTTTTTCACGTTTTATTTTATAAATGACAACCTGAGGCAATGATAGGTGATAACTGGTCAACAGCCCAACAGTGGGAGAAGTCAGGTGTTAGGTTCCAAGTCTAGTTCTATTTTAAATGTATTGTTCCTTTCCAGACTATTTTTTCTGCTAACTCAAAATAACAGAATGAATGAACTATTTAAAGTGACTTTGCTTATATATACTATAATTCTATTTTAATAAGGGAAGTATCCAGAAAAAAGTTTATATACATAAAATATTAATAATAGGAGTAATAATTAGATTATGATGTATGACTTTAATATTCACATTTATTTATTTATTTATTTTGAGACGGAGTCTTGCTCTGTTGCTCAGGCTGGAATGCAATGGCGCCATCTCGGCTCACTGCAATCTCTGCCTCCCAGGTTCAAGCCATTCTCCTGCCTTAGCCTCCCAGGTAGCTGGGACTACAGGCACGTGCCACGATGCCCGGCTAATTTTTTGTATTTTTAGTAGAGATGGGGTTTTGCCATATTAGCCAGGATGGTCTCAATCTCCTGATCTCATGATCTGCCTGCCTCGGCCTCCCAAAGTGCTGGGATTATAGGCGTGAGCCATTGCGCCCGGCCCACATTTATGTTTATGATTTTCTTCAAGCAGCACACATCATTTATGTCGTTTAAAAAAACAAAGGAAGGCGACACAGTGACTCATGCCTGTAATCCCAACACTTTGGGAGGCCACAGTGAGAGGACTGCTTGAGCCCAGGAGTTCGAGACCAGCCTGGGCAACATAGTGAAACCGAGTCTCTACAAAAAAAAAAAAGGCATTTAGCTTCTTGAATAAAATAAGGATGTTACAAATAAAAACAAATTAGTATGAGGTTGTTGACAAAACTAAACTTTTTCCTAATGGCAAAAGTTGAATATATACATTAACATTAAAGTAAGTGTATAGTAGAATCACTTCTCCCTAAGAAACCTAAAAATACTTTAATCACACTCAATAATTCACAGAGATAAGCTTTCCAATGACCTGCATTTTCTACAACTTTAATTCAGGCATACTTTAGGTATAAAAATTTAACTCTTCAAACCAATTTTTCTATCACCAGTAGAAAAGTAGCCTAGATGACTAAATATTAACTAAATCATGCCAAGAAGCATAACAGTAGCATTAGTCTTAAATTTCGATACTATGTAACATTAAACGTTATCGACTGTGATGACTAAATGTTATTGAGGGTGATGATGTAGTTCAATAGCTATGACCTCTGTTTTATTTTGAAAAGATAATAAAAATAGTTGTAGTAAGAAAAATACTTAAGATTCATTCACACTGAATTAGCTCAAACTTGGGGAAGAAGCATAATCTATTATTACAGCTTTATTAATTAGACTATCACCAAAATCAATTTTAGGTCTTTTTTCCTCTTGGTAGAAAGTTTTTTGTTCTTCACCACGCATTTGTTTAACAGGATTATAATTTTCATTCATAAATAGGGAAAATATGAAGTTAAGTACTAGTTCCAGGTCATATTTTCAAGTCTGTGATAACAAAGGAACTGAAGCTATAAGATTGACTTAATTTACCTTCTCACCTTCTCTCTCTCCTTTTTTTTGTTTGAAACAAGGTCTTGCTTAGGTGCCCAGGCTGGAGTGGTGTGGTGGCACAATCATAGCTCACTGTAACCTCAAACTCCTGGACTCAAGCCATCCTCCAGCCTCAGTTTTCCTAAGTGCTGGGATTATAGATGTGAGCTACTGTATGCTCAACTGTCTCTTGTGTTCCTGGTTTCACCCAAAAGGAATACATATTATCATTTTTTTTCTTGAGACAGAATTTTGCTCTTGTCATCTAGGCTGGAGTGCAAACCTCCACCTCCCAGGTTCAAGCAATTCTCCTGCCTCAGCCTCCTGAGCAGCTGAGATTACAGGTGCTCGCCACTATGCCCGGCTACTTTTTTTTGGTATTTTTAGTAGAGATGGAGTTTCACCATGTTGGCCAGGCTGGTCTCGAACTCCTGACCTCAGGTGATCCTCCCACCTTGGCCTTCCAAAGTGCTGGGATTACAGGCATGAGCCACCGTACCCAGCCAGGAATATATATTTTCAGAACACATCTGGAAACATTTTCCAGATATCACAACAGTGTTTTCTTCAGCACTAAGATAAATACAATGTTTCTGTGAGAAACACTGTTTTCATCTCATAACAGAACTTTGTTTTCATCTTACCTTATAGAAGTAAAATGGTTGCAAGTTGAGAACTTCAATAATCCAAGGAAAAGTACGAGGTGAGCTATAGGCAAAGAGCACAATTTCCAAACAACAAGCCATCAAGGAATGATGAAATATATCTTGCTCTAAAAGAACCTGGGGAAGAGAAAGACCACAGTTTAATATTCTTCAGCAATTTCAGTCTTCGCCATTGTACAAAGAAAACTATGGAAACAAGAAACAATAACGTGCAAATTATATTATACTAGATTACTGGAATAAAATTTGAGTTCTCAAACTGGTAGTTTTCCTGTAATACCTAATCTTGCTCAGTGGTAGGTAATAAATTTAAATAAGGTGTACATAACAATCTGCTTTGAAATCTGAACAAATAATATGTCAGTATTCCCATCAACAGAAAAGCATGAGAATTGGTTGTTTTTTTTCTTAATGACAGTTAATTGTTTTTGTCAACATAAGGATTTATTTATCAAACAGAAATGAAAGGTAATATGCCACAGTTTAGACAAAAATGTTTAGAAAAAGAAATATTTCACTGAGAAAATAAAAGTCTTACTTTACCATTACATTTAATATAAGTTTTCAGTTTTAAAAACAGTGTTTGTTGCCTTCTTTCTTTCAAATATCACCCCAGATTAGCTGAGCGTGGTGGCTCTCCCCTGTAATCTCAGCACTTTGGGAGGCCGAGGCAGGTGGATTACTTGAGGTCAGGAGTTCAAGACCAGCTTGGCCATCATGGTGAAACCCTGTCTCTACTAAAAATACAAAAATTAGCTGGGTGTGGTGGCGCATGCCTGTAATCCCAGTTACTCCGGAGGCTGAGGCAGTGGAATCACTTAAACCTGGGAGGCAGAGGTTGCAGTGAGCCGAGATCACACCACCACACTCCAGACTGGGTAACAGAGCGAGACTCAGTCTCAGAAAAAAACAAAAAACAAAAACAAAAAAACCAAATATCACCCCAAATCAAGACAGGATAAAAAACAGAAACTCCATCATCAGTTAAACTAGGAGTCATCTGTAACTGTAAACCACAATATATGAAGGATGACAAATTACTCAGCAGAAGGGATGATGGTCAAGCCTAAGGACCTGCAGTGAGACATTTAAAACAAATGAATCTGCTCTAAAAGACATAGCAACTGAGGACACAGGCAGAATGGGAAGTAGGGGTGAAGCACTGGGTGGGTGATCTGAAAGTCTTAGGATCCTCAGGTCCCCACACAACTCCCACTCTATGGGATCAGATGACAGACCTCTATTCTGTCTCCACAGGAATCTACAGGATTATTCTCCAGAGAAATTGAACTGAAGACTCAGAGGTAGAGAACATCAGGCACAGAAAAGACTAAGGTTTTAGTCTTTTGACTCTGCAGACTGAACCATACGATCAAATTTCCCTTCCTTCTTCTGATCCACAACACCAGCAGCCAGGCAAGATGTTAACAGATATGTCTCTGGAGAAACTGAGACATTCCAGAAAAGTTTTATGGGCACCAGCAGATGAGATTCTCTAACACTCTGTGATCATCTGAGGTCAATGGATTTTTATTTCCACTCTTGAAATAAAAGAGCTTTGAAACAAACTTTTACTGCCTCACTCACACAGCTTTGAACACAAGTTTTTGTGTCTCATTCAAATTTAAGTGGACAACCAAGAATTATCCGACATTTGAGGAAAACCTCTTAACTGAAAAACATAGGTCAAAACAAACAGAAAAGCAAGGTGCCAGCAGCATGTACCTGTAGTCCCAGCTACTTGGGAAGCTGAGGCAGGAGGATCACTTGAACCCAGCAGTTGACACTAGCCTGAGCAACATAGCGAGACACCATCGTACTAAAAAAAAAAAGAAAAAAAAAAAGCCAGGTGCGGTGGCTCACTCCTGTAACCCCCAGCACTTTGAAGGCCGAGGCGGGTGGATTAGCTGAGGTCAGGAGTTCGAGACCAGCTTGGCCAACATGGTAAAACCCCATCTCTACCAAAAAATACAAAAATTTGCTGGGCGTGGTAGCATATGCCTATAATCCCAGCTACTCAAGAGGCTGAGGCAGGAGAATCGTTTGAATCCGTTGAGGCGAAGCTTACAGTGAGCCAAGATCATGCTACTGCACTCCAGCCAGGGCGACAGAGCGAGACTCTGTCCCCCTTCCCCGCCAAAAAAATTAAAGATCCGCTATCTGCAAATGCAGATTTTCGTGAAAACCCTTACAGGGAAGACCATCACCCTTGAGGTTGAACCCTTGAACACAACAGAAAATGTAAAGGCCAATATCCAGGATAAGGAAGGAATTCCTCCTGATCAGCAAAGACTGATCTTTGCTGGCAAGCAATTGGAAGATGTCTGACTACAACATTCAAAAGGAGTCTACTCTTCATCTTGTGTTGAGACTTCGTGGTGGTGCTAAGAAAAGGAAGAAGTCTTACACCACTCCCAAGAAGAATAAGCACAAGAGAAAGAAAGAAGGTTAAGCTGGCTATCCTGAAATATTATAAGGTAGATGAGAATGGCAAAATGAGTTGCTTTCGTCGAGAGTGCCCTTCTGATGAATGTGGTGCTGGAGTGTTTATGGCAAGTCACTCTGACAGACATATTGTGGCAAATGTCTGACTTACTGCTTCAACAAACCAGATGTCAAGTAACTGTGTATGAGTTAATAAAAAACATAAACTAATATTTTAAAAAAATTAAAAATATTTTTTAAAAAGAGAGAAAAAGGCTGGACACAGTGGCTCATACCTGTAATCCCAGCGCTTTGGGAGGCTGAGGTGGGTGGATCACCTGAGGTCAGGAGTTGGAGACCAGCCTGACCAACATGGAGAAACCCTATCTCTACTAAAAATACAAAAGTAGCCAGGTGTGGTGGCGCATCCCTGTAATCCCAGCTGCTCGGGAGACTGAGGCAGGAGTATCGCTGGAATCCGGGAGGCGGAGGTTGTGGTAAGCCAAGATCTTACCATTGCACTCCAGCCTGGGCAACAAGAGTGAAACTCTGTCTCAAAAAAAAGAAAGAAAACAAAAAAAAAGAAAAAAGAAAGAGAGAAAAATGGAGAAAAATTCAGGAGAAACAGAGGTGAAGCAGTTAAGAAAACTTCAAATAAATCTAAATTAGTAACTTTAGAGAACATGAAAGAGAAATGAAAATGAAGTTGAAATTAAAAGTTCATTGGGACGAGATGAAAAGTTAAGTAAATATCTTTAAAAGTAGAATAAAAGAGATAAAGAAATGGAAAATAAGAGAAGAAATTAAGAAGGTCAATTCAGAAGGTCCATCATCTGAAAAATAGATGTTCCAGAAAGATAAATCAGTGGGCAATATATCATCAAAGAAATAACACAATAAATGACCAAAACTGCAGGGCATAAATTTCTAGACTAAATGGGCAACTCTGTGGGAATGACAAATACATGAATGAAAAAAAACACAGTCAGATACATTTTTACAAATTTAAGAATATCAGTGATAAAAGATAAAGATTCCAGAAAAAAAAACAGGTCACATACTACTAAGTGAGAATGCGAATGTCACTGGACTTCTCATTAGTAACAGTGGAATTTATAATAGAAAATAATGCAACAGTGCCTTCAAACTCATAAAGGAAAATGATTGTCAGTCTAAAATTATTTTCTTTTTTTAAGTTAATTTTTTGTTTTTAGGGATGGGGACTTGTTATGTTGCCTAGGTTGGAGTACAGTAGCTATTCACAGTACAATCATCCTACACAGTGTACATACAGTACATATTACAACCTCAAACTCCTGGGCTCAAGCAATCCTCTTGTCTCAGCCTCCCACCAATCTTTTTTTCTTTTTTTGTCTGAGATGGAGTGTTGCTCTTGTTGCCCAGGCTGGAGTGCAATGGCATGATCTCGGCTCACTGCAACCTCTGTCTCCTGGGTTAAAACGATCCTGCCTCAGCCTCTCCCTAGTAGCTGGGATTACAGGCATGTGCCACCACGCCTGGTTAATTTTGTATATTTTAGTAGAGACAGGGTTTCACCATGTTGGTCAGGCTGGTCTAGAACTCCTGACCTTAGGTGATCCACCTGCCTTGGCCTCCCAAAGTGTTGGGATTACAGAGGTGAGCCACAGCACCCAGCCTCTCCCATCAATCTTGAATTCTGTACATAGACAACTATCAATCAATTATGAGTCTAAAATAAAGGTACTTATGCAAAATCTTTAAAAGGGACTTTAAGTGAGGTAAGGTTCTATACTTACTTAAATTAGTTAAATGGCTATATAAAACATCTATTAAAAAAAACTTTACGAGGCTCTAAAAAATGTTCAAGTTACCACAGGAAGGGAGGAAAAGAAAACAAAATTTAAAAAAAGAGTGAGAACAAAGAGAAAACAAAAATAAAATGGCAGACTTAAGCACTAACATAACAATTACTAAATGTAAGTCATCTAAATTTACTAATTAAATGACAGAGATTAGCAAAGATTAGGAAAAAAAAAAATGACCCAACTATATACTGACTATAAGAAATTCACTTCAAAGATCACTTGAAAAAGGATGAAAAAAAATATGCCACGCAAACATTAATGAAAAGAAGGCAGGAGTGGTTGTGCATAAACATCAGGTAGATTTCAGAGCAAAGAAAATTACCATGGACAGAGAGGAACATTTTATTTATTTATTTAATTTTTAATTTTTTTTTTTGAGATGGAGTCTCACTCTGTTGCCCAGGCTGGAGTGCAGTGGCGCAATCTTGGCTCACCACAACCTCCGCCTCCCAGGTTCAAGAGATTCTCCTGTCTCAGCCTCCCGAGTAGCTGGGATTACAGGTGCACGCCACTATGCCTGGCTAATTTTTGTATTTTTAGTAGAGACGGGGTTTCACTATGTTGGCCAGGCTGGTCTCGAACTGCTGACCTTGTGATCCACCCAGCTTGGCCTCCCAAAGTGCTGGGATTATAGGCGTGAGTCACCATGTCCAGCCTTATTTATTTATTTTGAGATGCAGTCTTGCTCTGTCTTCCAGGCAGGAGTGCAGTGGTGTGATCTTGGCTCACTGCAACCTCTGCCTCCCGGGCTCAAGCAATTCTCCTGCTCCAGCCTCCCAAGTAGCTGGGATTGCAGGCACCTGCCACCATGCCCGGCTAATTTTTGTATTTTTATTTATTTGTTTTTTTGAGATGGAGTCTCACTCTGTTGCACAGGGTGGAGTGCAGTGGTGCGATCTTGGCTCACTGCAGCCTCCACCTCCTAGGTTCAAGCTATTCTCCTGTCTCAAACTCCTGAGTAGCTGGGACTATGGGCACTCACCACCACCCCTGGCTAATTTTTGTATTTTTAGTTGAGATAGGGTTTTGCCATGTTGGTCAGGCTGGTCTCGAACTCCTGACCTCAGGTGATCCACCTGCCTCAGTCTCCTAAAGTGCTGGGATTAGAGATGTAAGCCACCATGCTCAGCCTTTTATATTTTTAGTAGAGACCGTGTTTCGCCATGTTGGCCAGGCTGGTCTCGAACTACTGACCTCAGGTGACCCACCTGCCTCAGTCTCCCAAAGTGCTGGGATTACAGGCGTGGGCCACTGCGCCTGGCCAGGGAGTAACATTTTATAATGATTACAGAGTCAATTCATTAAGAAGGCAGACAGCAATCCTAAATGTGTAAGCATCAAACAGCAGAGCTTCAAAATATGTGGAGAAAAGCTGACAGACTTGAAAGAAATAGACAAATCTATAATCATACATGAATACTTCAACATCCTCTATCAACAACTGATATAACAACTAGACTGGAAATCATGAAGAATATAAAATAACATCAACCAACAAGATAAAATTGACATTTACAGAATATTCCATCCGAACATAGCAGAATACAGCAGATCCTTGAATAACAACATTTCGCTCAACATCATTTTGTCATAACAATGAAAAATAACGGATTCCCAACTGGGGCCACTGTATGAAATTTGTACATTCTCCTATGTCTGCATGAGCTCTCTCTGGGTACTCTGGTTTCTTCTTACATTTCAAAGATATGTACATTAGCTTAACTGACGTATCTAAATTGTGACAGTGTAAGTGTGGGTGTGTGTGTGTCCTATGATGAAATGGTGTCCTGACTAGGGTTGGGTCCCGCCTTTCATCTTGAGCTGCTGAGGTAGGCTCCAGCCACTCATGACCTTGAACAGGAATAACTGGGTAAGTAATAATCTTCCTTATTTTTATTACTCTTTCTCTTATTTATTTCAACGTTTAACATTGTAAGTGTTTTGTCTTTATTTAGAAGTTTGGTGATGTTTTTGTGACTAGACATATGCCAAAGGAACTTAAACTCTTGCTTATATCAGTTAGCCTGTGGTAAAATTGGTTTCATTGTGTGTTGTTTTTGCTTAAAGTCACTGTTTCCAAGAACCTACTGACAAGGTTAAATGTGAGGATTTACATTCTTTTCAAGTGGCCACAGAACATTCACCATGATAAACCATATCCTGGGCTACAAAATAACTAAAACAAATTGAAAAGAATTGAATTCATACAGAGTATGTAGAAGTGGGAAACAGTAATGGCTGAGAGGAGTAAGTGTAACTAACTATAAACGGGTAGCAGGAAGGAGATCTTTAACAGTTCAGTATCTTTATTTTGGTGATGGTTACATAATCTATGCATATGATACAATTTTATACACACACACACATACACACTGTTTTAATGTCAATTCCCCAGTTCTGATACTGCAGTATATAAAACTGTAACCACTGGGGAAACTGGATATAGGATGTGTGGGACTTCTCTGTACTACTTTTGCAGCTTTCTGTGAATCTGGAATTATTTCAAAATAAAAAGTTGGCCGGGTACAGTGGCTCACACCTGTAATCCCAGCACTTTGGGAGGCTGAGGCAGGTGGATCACGAGGTCAGGAGTTCAAGACCAGCCTGGCCAAGATGGTGAAACCCTGTCTCTACTAAAAATACAAAAAAATTAGCCGAGTGTGGTGGCGAGTGCCTGCAATCTTGCCTAGAATCTTGGGATTCCAGCTAGTCGGAAGGCTGTGGCAGAGAATTGCTTGAACTCAGGAGGCGGAGGTTACAGTGAGCTGAGATTGTGCTACTGCACTCCAGCCTGGGCGACAGAGCGAGATTACATATCAAAATAAATAAATAAATAAATAAATAAAAATTTAAAAATTAAAATAAATAAAGTTAAAAAATTTACTTCTTTCAGCTAGGTGAGGTGGCTGTAATCCTAGCATTTTGGGAGGCTGAGGCGGGCAGATCACTTGAGGTCAGGAGTTCAAGACCAGCCTGGCCAACATGGTAAAACCCTGTCTTTACTAAAAATACAAAAATTAGCCAGGCGTGGTGGTGGGCACCTGTAACCCCAGCTACTCGGGAGGCTGAGGCATGAGAATCGCTTGAACCCAGGAGATGGAGGTTGCAGTGAGCCAAGATCGTGCCACTGCACTCCAGCCTAGGCGACAGAGCAAGACTCAGTCTAAAAAAAAAAAAATACATATATATATATATGTATATTTACTTCTCAGAAAGCCATGGGATTGTATGCACCATCAAGATTATTAGTGTAAACTATGAAAGAGAAAGACACAGAATCCAGGAAAAAGAGAAACCAACACAGAAAATATATGAAAAAAATTTCCAGGTAAACACAAAGAGAAATTCTATTACAATAGTTACGCAGCATCCTTAAGACATCAACCTGTTCCTATTGGGATAGAAAGTTAGAAGACTCCAAGAGTGACTGCAGAGGGAAATAATGAAGGAAGAGGAAACAAAGATCATATGATAGGTTTGAATTTGTAGAAAAATTCTTTTATACAGCTTATTGGAGAGAGTGGTCTGACTTGGTCAAATAGTTAAAGAACCAAAACAAACCGCCCCACCATTTTATAATCCAAAATCCTTGGAAGGTATGGACAAATGTCTTAACTAACAGTTGCTTTAACAGATGGAGGGATCACTAGCTGGGAATGAAGGACAAAAACAAAAAACAAAAAAAAAAAACTTAAAACACACTGATGTGTACCAAAGATGAACTTTATGTTATTTCACATTTCTGCCTAGATGTGATTAGCCTTGCATGTGCTAAAGTCAACTAAATGTCATCCTGGCCAAGTGTGTCCTAGATTGGTGACCCCCACAATGCCTTACAGAGCCTCTCAAAACACTGCTTCCAGGCTGCGACTTTTGGACCTTGCCAGTAGCGCAGAGAGTGGATTTACTTACTGACATGTCCATTCCATGAAGTCTTCGTGTTTCCTGAACCATTACGGTCTCTAGTATTTTATAATACAAAATTTCTGCCAGCTTTAGTCTGTTTACAGCAAAGTCTATTGGGGAAATACAGAGAAAACATGTGTTAATGAATTTTAGTTGTTAAGGACTGAAAAGCAAAAATTATACATAAACTTAAATCTGATACATTAAGAATAGCAGGGTAGCCTGGGAGTGGTGGCTCACACCTGCAATCCTAGCACTCTGGGAGGCCTAGGAGAGCAGATCACCTGAGGTCCGGAGTCTGAGACCAGCCTGACCAACACGGTGAAACTCCGTCTCTACTAAAAATACAAAATTAGCCCGTGTGGTGGTGGGTGCCTGTAATAGCAGCTACTTGGTAGGCTGAGGCAGAAGAATTGCTTGAACCTGGGAGGAGGAGGTTGCAGTGAGTCAAGATCGCGTCACTGTACTCCAGCCTGGGCAACTCGGTCTCAAAAAAAAAAAAAAAAAAGAAAGAAAGAAGAATAACGGGAGAGGAAAAAACTTGAATTTCTAATTTTGGTGGGATTACTTATTTTCAATGCTATGCCAACTTTAGTTTTCTTTTCTTACCTATGTGAGATCCTGGCTGTTCATCTGTTGATTGAGTATAGTGTTGGCAGAAAGTCTCTCCCATTCCTTTTAGTATTTTCATAATGTTTTCCATAGGATTACGCACACAAGATCTACAAAATACAAGAGGACCCTAATTACAAAAACAAACAAACAAAAAAACAACTCTACACCATAGTATTAACATGCCTTCTTTTTTTTTGTTTTTTTGAGACGGGGTCTCACTCTGTTGCCCAGGCTGGAGTGCAATGACGCGATCTCAGCTCACTGTAACCTCTGCCTCCCAGGTTTAAGCGATTCTCCCGTCTCAACCTCCCAAGTAGCTGGGATTACAGGCGCGCGCCACCATACCCGGCTAATTTTTGTAGTTTTAGTAGAGATGGGTTTCACCATGTTGCCCAAGTTGGTCTAGATCTCCTGACCTTGTGATCCACCCACCTCAGCCTCCCAAAATGCTGAAGTAATAGGTGTGAGCCACCATGCCTGGCCCACATGCCTTCTTTCAAGAATTGGTTTTTAGCAGCCAAAGTTGTATTCTCAGTTGGAAATCTACATATGTAAACAAAGCTTTATATGATGACATATTTTAACATGTAAATTACATAATAAAAATACAGATTGTATACACATGTAATATAACTTTGCTGCTGTAAGTTTGACCATACTATGTACCCTATATGAGTGGAATCATGCAGTATTTTGTCTTTTTGTGATTGACTAACTTCACTTAACATAATGTACTAAAGGTTCATCCATGTTGTAGCAAATGGCAGGATTTCCTTCTTTTATAAGGCTGAATAATATTGCATCTCATATCTATATGTGTATCTATATATATACACACACACACAAATACACACACAGTATTTTGTCTATCAATGGACACTTAAGGTGTTTCCACATCTTGGTTATTGGGAATAATGCTGCAGTGAACATGACGTGCAAATATCCCTTTGAGATGCTGTTTTTAATTCTTTTGGATGTATACCCAGAAGTGGTATTGCTGAGTCATATGGTACTTCTATTTTTAATTTTTTGAGGAACCTCCATACTGTTTTCCATAGTGGCTGCACCACTTTACAATTCTACTAACAGTGTGTAAGGGTTCCTATTTCTCCACATCCTTACCAACACCTGCTATTTTGGGTTTTTTGGGGTGATGAGTGGGAAGTGGCTATGCTGATATGTGAGGTATTATCTCATTGTGATTTTGATTTGCAACTCCCTGATAAGTGATATCAGATATTTTTTTCATATGCTTTTGGCCAGTTGCATATATTCTTTGGAGAAATATCTACTCAATCCTTTATACATTTTTAAATTGAGTTATTTGTTGTTCTTGAGTTTTAGGAGTTCTTTACATATTCTGAGTATGAACCCCTCATCTAATATACGGTTTACAATTACTTTTCCCATTCTATAGGCTGTTTTTTTACTCTGTTGATTGTTTTCTTTGCTATGTTAAAGCTTTCAGGTTTGAGGCTGGGCATGGTGGCTCATACCTATATTCCCAGCACTTTGGGAGGCCAAGGTGGGCAGATCACTTGAGGCCAGGAGTTGGAGACCAGCCTGGCCAACATGGTGAAACCCTGTCTCTACTAAAAATACAAAAATTGGCCAGGCCTGGTGGCTAACGCCTGTTGTAATCCCAGCACTTTTGGAGGCCAAGGTGGTGGATTACTTGAGGTCAGCAGTTCAAGACCAGCCTGACCAACATGGTAAAACCCCATCTCTACTAAATACAAAAAATTAGCCGGGCATGGTGGTGCATGCCTGTCATCCAGCTACTTGGGAGGCTGAGACAGAAGAATCAATTGAACCTGGGAGGTGGAGATTGCAGTGAGCTGAGATCGAGCCATTGCACTCCAGCCTGGGCAATAAGAGCGAAACTCTCTCAAAAAAAAAAAAAAAAAAATGTTGGGCGTGGTGGCTTATGCCTATAATCCCAGCACTTCAGGAGGCCAAGGCAGGAGGATCATGAGGTCAGGAGATTGAGAACATCCTGGTCAAGACGGTGAAACCCCATCTCTACTAAAAATACAAAAATTAGCTGGGCATAGTGGCAGGTGCCTGTAGTCCCAGCTAGAGGCTGAGGCAGGAAAATTGCTTGAACCTGGGAGGCAGAGTTTGCAGTGAGCCGAGATCACGTCATTGCATTCCAGCCTGGTGACAGAGCAAGACTACGTTCCAAAACAAACAAACAAACAAACAATGGCCACAATGGCTAAGTTTTATTTATTTTGTTTTTTGTAAAGATGAGGTCTTGCTATGTTGCCCGGGCTAGTCTCAAACTCCTGAGCTCAAGCAAAACACCCACCCTGGCCTATCAAAGTCCTGGGATTACAGATATGTGCCATTGCACCTGGCCTCTAATATAGATATCTTAACAATATTAAGTCTTCCAGTCCACAAACACAGATGTCTTTTTTTCTTTTTTTTTTTTTTTTTGAGATAGGGTCTCGCTCTGTTGCCCAGGTTAGAGTACAATGGTGTGATCATGGCTGAGCTCAAGCGACTCTCCCATCTCAGCCTCCCAAGTAGTTGGAATGCATATCACCATGACTAATTTTTAAATTTTTTCTGAGAGACAGGGTCCCATCATGTTGCTCAGGCTGGTCTTAAACTCCTGGGCTCAACTGATCCTCTTGCCTCAGCCTCCCAAAGTGCTGCAATTACAGGCATGAGCCACAACACCTAGTGTTGCCATTTGTGTCTAGACTTTTTTTTCTTTTGCATTCTGTACTTCCTTCTTTTCCCTTATTGACATATTTGTATAGTTGCTTTGTCACTGCTTTTCAACTTACTCATGTTTGAACAGTAGTTCAATCCAGATCTATTTACTCAAATGATATGGAAAGTAGATCCAGGACAGTCTTCCTACCTTACCGGCAGTATGCTTTTCTTCTGAGCTATTTCTGAGGCTGGAGATTGTTCCATCTACTTTCTTGTATCCCGAACGTTTGAGGAATGGGGGAGAGCTCAGCTATGTTCAGCTTTTCTTGGAGAACTAGGGTTTTGCTTTGTCTTCTGAGATTTAGTTAAATACTCCCATTCCAGGGTTCACCATTCCTAGTCAGGGACGTCTAGTTATATGAGGATCTCTCCCCCATATCATCATGGAATGTTGGAAAATGGCAGCCCTTGGCAGTTGTTTATATTTCTGCTGGGATCCTGGTGGTGGTACATATAAACTTTTCACTTGGGGAGATTTGTATGACTTTTTATCTGTCTGCCTGCTCCCCCACTTGTTTCTCTCCAAATCTGAAGTATTGATGAGAATTCTCAAGATCTATCACTATACCCTCTTTCTCCAACACTGCTTAGGGATAGGGATACCAGAATCATCAATTTTCTTTTTGATCTCTACTTTGGAAATTTATGTCATGAAATCATCTCTCTCTCCTCATTTGGTTGCCACTGATAAATATTTTGCTGGTTTTTACTATTCTCTTATTTTATTAGGTATTAGGAAAGAAGGTTCTCTGATCTGGCTTCATTCTACCATCTTTACCAGGAATCATGCTTCCTCAAAAAAGAAAAAGTCCGGGCGCGGTGGCTCAAGCCTGTAATCCCAGCACTTTGGGAGGCCGAGACGGACGGATCACGAGGTCAGGAGATCGAGACCATCCTGGCTAACACGGTGAAACCCCGTCTCTACTAAAAAAATACAAAAAACTAGCCGGGCGAAGTGGCGGGCGCCTATAGTCCCAGCTACTCGCGAGGCTGAGGCAGGAGAATGGCGTAAACCCAGGAGGTGGAGCTTGCAGTGAGCTGAGATCCGGCCACTGCACTCCAGCCTGGGCGACAGAGCGAGACTCCATCTCAAAAAAAAAAAACAAAAAAACCTGTATAAAATTCCATTTTATGGGCTGGGCACGGTGGCTCATGCCTATAATCCCAGCACTTTGGGAGGTCCAGGAGGGCAGATTACCTGAGGTCGGGAGTTCAAGACCAGCCTGACCAACGTGGAGAAACCCCATCTCTACTAAAAATACAAAATTAGCCGGGCATGGTGGCGCATGCCCGTAATCCCAGCTATTCAGGAGGCTGAGGCAGGAGAATCGCTTGAACCCACTAGGCAGAGGTTGCAGTGAGCCGAGATTGTGCCATTGCACTCCAGCCTGGGCAACAAGAGCAAAACTCTGTCTCAAAAATAAATAAATAAATAATTTCATTTTTATGGCTGTACCACCAATATGCAATTAGTCCCCTATCTAATGGACATTTAGAATCTAATGGACATTTAGAATGTCCCCATTTAAAATTAATGTATGCCCTTATACAGGTGATCTTTAGAAACAAACATAAAAATAAATTAAAAAATAAAGTCAATGTAAAATCAAAACATGCATAACTCAGGGGTAGTTAAAGAGTGAAATATCAGTGCTAAATAATCTTTAAGGTACACTTATCTCTAAAAGTCTATACTCCCATGAAATAACATTATATATAATTATTTTTAAGAGATAAGGTTGGCCTGGCATGGTTGCTCATGCCTGTAATCCCAGCACTTTGGGAGGCCAAGGCAGTTGGATCACTTGAGCTCAGAAGTTCAAGATCAGCCTGAGCAACATGGCAAAACCCTGTCTCTACAAAAAATATAAAAAATTAGGCATGGTGGCTTGCACCTGTAGTTCTAGCTACTTGGGGGACTGAGGTGGGAGAGTTGCTTGAGCCCAGGAGGTGGAGGCTGCAGTAAGCTGTGATTGCGGCACTGCACTCCAGCCTGGGAGACAGCGAGACCCTGTTTCAAAAAAAAAAAAAAGGGAGCAATAAGGTCTCCCTATCTTGGCCAAGCTGGAATTAGTCTCACTATGTTGGCCAAACTAGCTTCCCAAGTAGCTGGGACTACAGGTGTGTGCCACTGTGCCCGACTGTTATACATAATTTTTAATAGGTACTTCAATATGGATTTAGGTCAATATATTTTGTGATTGAAATGGTATAGTAAAACTTGCCAGATGAACATCCACTATCTTGAGAATTCTGAATATACTAAAAACAGAATGGAATAAGAAATCTAATTTTAAAAAGACATTTGAAAAAGTAACAGTATTATACATACTCAAAAATATTTGTAAGTTGGTCACTTGGTGCATTTTTCAGACCAGCCACAATACTCTGTAACCGGCTGACACTTTGGGTGGCTGATGCAACAGGAGTAATGACTGCTTCTTTTTCTCGTAAATATCTCCGTCCTGTCAGAGGGGTAGAAGGTGCAAATGACCTTTTCTGTCAGAAAAGAAAAATCTGTGAGTTTTTAAAAGTTACCATCTTCCTTATTATATGTTTAATTCAGTGCATTTACCATCTTCTCTACTCATATTTAAAATATCCATGAAATTTTTAGCAATACTATGCTAATAACATCCTTATATTTGAATAACACTTTTTAAAAGAACTTTCTACCTATAATTTCATTTAATCTTCACACCACTGATTTGAAAGATAATGTATACATACTTTAATTTTATATATGAGGAAATAGGAACAGAGAAATTTAAAAACGTGTTTCAGTTGACTAAGTTAATGTCAAAGCTTGGACAAAAACTTAGGTTTTACTATGTTCTAGACAAGTGAATTTTCCATTAGATCTCTTCCTCCAACCCATTTTACACATAAATACAGGGTTAAGCCTTGGCCATTAACAATCAAGTCCAGAGTTTTATGGCTGAAGTTACAGAAAAACACATAGTTTGTGTCATGGGTAGGAAAGCAAGCTAAAATTTAAAGCAATGTAACAGAGGCTAAGTTGAAGCAAAGAAAGAACGGTAAGAAAGGAAAACTTCCTCTTCATGCCAAAAGACATATACTCTACTAATAAACCCAGGCATGCTGGGAAAATGGATATAAAATATGAAAATAGTAAGAAATAAGGTAAAAATACTAAATGCCAGTTTTAAAAATTACCTTTTAAGGCTTTCATGGGAAATATGAATTAGTAGAAGAAACTCAAGATTTAACTTGAAAGATGCTTCTGCTGTTAGTAGAATCAGACACACAGAGAAAAAGATCATTCAAGATTGAGGCCAGGCTAGGTTATATTACTTTTTCAAAGTGTTGTTGAAGGTTATACTCCACATTAGCCTGTGCGGTCAGTTTCCCTAATGGGTGTCACCAGTGAACTTTCGAGGTGTTCCAATTTCCTCTTCTGCGTCTGCCCCCAAAAAGATCCTCTCATCAAAATCACCAACAGTTAGAACATACTCTTCGTACTCCTTATTCACTGCTTTGCTGCAAAGAGAATTATTATAAGCTGTAATACTAAGTTACACAATGGATTTATTTTGACTTGAAGATAGATTTAGTGTTTACAGCTTAGAAAATCTGACAACTTTCTAATTTTTATTAACTCTGCCCATCTAACAATATCAGAGGGTCCTACCTGATTATGGACATTCTTCACATTCACACAACCAATAAATTACTTTGAAAAGTGAGAGACTACATATACTTAATCTGAAAAACTAGTTGAATCTAATTATGAAAATGGTTTCTGATCACTAAGGAAACAATAGTGGCTTTGAAATATGGCAGGTGGAGGTTGCAGTGAGCCAAGATTGCGCCACTGCCCTCCAGCCTGGCAACAGAGCAAGACTCCGTCTCAAAAAAACAAAAGGGCCGGGCGCGGTGGCTCACGCCTGTAATCCCAGCATTTTGGGAAGCCGAGGTGGACAGATCATGAGGTCAGGAGATCGAGACCATCCTGGCTAACATGGTGAAATCCCATATCTACTAAAAATACAAAAAATTAGCCAGGTGTGGTGGCAGGCGCCTGTTGTCCCAGCTACTCAGGAGGGTGAGGCAAGAGAATGGCCTGAACCTGGGAGGTGGAGCTTGCAGTGAGCCAAGATCGCGTCACTGCACTCCAGCCTGGGCAACAGAGCGAGATTCCGTCTCAGAAAAAAAAAAAAAATATGGGTACTGCCAACAAGTGATTAGTGAAAGAATGTAAAGTGAAACACAGAGTCATTGGGTTCATTTATTAGTTTCTCAAGAGAACAGCTGTTTTTTGTTTGTTTGTTTGTTTGTTTGTTTTGAGACAGAGTCTCGCTTAGTCGCCCAGGCTGGAGTGCAGTGGCGCGATCTCGGCTCACTGCAAGCTCCGCCTCCCGGGTTCACGCCATTCTCCTGCCTCAGCCTCCCGAGTAGCTGGGACTACAGGCGCCCGCTGCCTCGCCCGGCTAATTTTTTGCATTTTTAGTAGAGACGGGGTTTCACAGTGTTAGCCAGGATGGTCTCGATCTCCTGACCTTGTGATCCGCCCGCCTCGGCCTCCCAAAGTGCTGGGATTACAGGCGTGAGCCACCGCGCCCGGCCTGTTTGTTTGTTTTTAAGACAGAGTATCACTCTGTCACCCAGGCTGGAATGCAGTGATGCGATCTTGGCTCACTGCAGCCTCTACCTCCCAGGTTTAAGCAATTCTCCTGCCTTAGCCTCCGAGTAGCTGGGACTACAGGCTTGCACCACCATGCCCGGCTAGTTTTTACTTTTAGTAGAGATGGGGTTTCACCACATTGGCCAGGATAGTCTCGATCTCCTGACCTTGTGATCTGCCCACCTCAGTCTCCCAAAGTGCTAGGATTACAGGTGTGAGCCACCATGCGCCTGGCCGAGTAGCTGTTTTAAATGCCAATTGGCTGGGTGTGGTGGGTCATGCCTGTAATCCTAGCACTTCGGGAGGCTATGGTGAGAGGATTGCTTGAGGCCAGGAATTTGAGGCCAGCCTGGGCAACACAGTGAGATCCCATCTCTAAAAAAATAAAAATAAAAATAAATACGTAAGTGTCAATGATTTTTTTTTTTTTTTTTGAGATGGAATCTTGCTCTGTCACCTAGGCTAGAGTGCACTGGTGTGATCTCAGCTCACTGCAACCTCTGCCTCTTGGGTTCAAGTGATTCTCCTGCCTCAGTCTCCCAAGCAGCTGGGATTACAGGTGCCACCACACCCAGATAATTTTTGTATTTTTAGTAGAGATGGGGTTTCACCATGTTGGCCAGGCTGATCTCAAACTCCTGACCTCAAGTGATCAGCCCACCCCGGCCTCCCAAAGTGTTGGGATTACAGGCGTGAGCCACCATGCCCGGCCTCTTTCTTTTTTTCTTGGTTTATTTTTGGAAACACGGTCTCGCTCCGTTACCCAGGCTGAAGTGCAGTGGTGCAATCATAGCTCACTGCAATCTCAACCTCCCAGATTAAAATGATCCTTCCACCTCAGCCTCCCAAGTAGCTGGGACTACAGGCTCACACCACTACGTCCAGCTGATTTGTGTATTTTTCGTAAAGACAGGGTTTCACCATGTTCCCCAGGCTGGTCTCCAACCTTCTGAGCTCAAGCGATCTGCCTGCCTTGGTCTTCCAAAGTGCTGGGATTACAGGTGTGAGCCACTGTGCCCAGCCTTGATTTTTATTTTTATTTGAGACGAGTCTTGCTCTGTTGCCCAGGATGTAGTGCAGTGGTGCAATCTCAGCTCACTGCAACCTCCACCTCTTGGGTTCAAGCGATCCGCCTACCTCAGCCTCCCAAGTAGCTGGGACTACAGGCATGTGCCACCATGCCCAGCTAATTTTTCTATTTTTAGTACAGACCGGGTTTCACCATTTTGGCCAGGATGATCTCAAACTCCTGACCTCGTGATCTGCCTGCCTCGGCCTCCCAAAGTGCTAGGATTATAGGCATGAGCCACCGCGCGCCTGGCCGGGTAGCTGTTTTAAATGTCAATTCGCTGGCTGTGGTGGGTCATGCCTGTAATCCTAGCACTTTGGGAGGCTATGGCGAGAGGATTGCTTGAGGCCAGGAATTTGAGATCAGCCTGGGCAACACAGTGAGATCCTGTCTCTAAAAAAATAAAAATAAAAATAAATACCTAAGTGTCAATAATTTTTTTTTCCCTGAGATGGAATCTCACTCTGTTGCCTAGGCTAGAGTGCAGTGGCATGATCTCGGCTCACTGCAACCTGTGCCTCCTGGGTTCAAGCAATTCTCCTGCCTCAGCCTCCCAAGTAGCTGGAATTACAGGTACCTGCCACCACACTCAGTTAATTTTTGTATTTTTAGTAAAGATGGGGTTTCACCATGTTGGCCAGGCTGATCTCAAACTCCTGACCTCAAGTGATCGGCCCGCCTTGGCCTCTTGAAGTGTTGGGATTATAGGCGTGAGCCACCATGCCCGGCCTCTTTCTTTTTTCCTTTTTTTTTTTTTTTGGAAATAGGGTCTCACTCTGTCACCCAGACCGAAGTGCAGTAGTGCAATCACGGCTCATTGCAACCTCAATCTCCCAGATTCAAACGATCCTCTCACCTAAGCCTCCCAAGTAGCTGGGACTACAGGCTCACACCACTATGTCCGGCTGATTTTTGTATTTTTTGTAGAGACAGGGTTTCACCATGTTGCCCAGGCTGGTCTCCAACTTTCTGAGCTAAAGCAATCTGCCTGCCTTGGCCTTCCAAAGTGCTGGGATTACAGGTGTGGGCCACCGTGCCCAGCCTTGATTTCTTAAAATAAATGTATTTAAAGCCAACAAGTCTTAGTGACAATACCCATTCAATGCCACTAAAGCAGACAGAACTTGAATTTGGAGGTCTTACTTTGATATAATGTTATGCTTAACAAATTTCAACAAATCAACAAATACGACAGCTTGTGATATGCCAGGCACCACTAGTACCAGATATTTACCTATTATCAGTAAAACTTGAAAGGTCCAGGAGGCATTCTCCTTTTAATATCTGTGAAGAAAAAATTATTTTGGGACACTATATAATTAAGCATATTAATACACACACAAACATGAAATTTATCTAAATTTCCATATTGTTATAACACACACACACACAAAACAGAATAATTAAATATTTCTTTCAGACTAGGATAAACTATTTAGCATGCAAATAACATTAAAAAAAAAAATTTTTTTTTTGAGACAGGGTTTGGTTCTGTCACCAGGCCTGGAGTGCAGTGGTACAATCATGGCTCACTGCAGCCTCAGCCTGCCAAGTAGCTGGGACTACAAGCGTGCACCACCACACCCTACTAATTTTTGTATTGTTTGTAGAGACGAGGTTTTGCCATGTTGCCCAGGCTCGTCTGGAACTCTTGGGCTCAAGCAATCCACCTGCCTTGGCCTCCCAAGGTGTTGGCATTACAGGCGTGAGCCACCTCGCCCAGTCCCTGGGATCCTTTAAAAAAAGTTTACTTTGCTAGAGATGTTTAGCATACAGACAATGGGCCATAATATAGATATCTGAGGAACACAAAACTGAATACAAAAGTTTGCATAAAAGAAGAAGAAACCAGTAAGGGAAGAATTTATGCTTAAAGAAAAATCTCTTAATATTTGAAAAGTGGGATACGTAATCCAAACCCCTCCTTTTACCAAAGAGAAATCTTGAGGCCTAACTACATTTAATGGCTTGATGTTGGGGAAGTAAGAAATTGAGACCCAGAGGAACAAGCCAATTCATAAATGTAGAAATAGCTAAGTTAATTACTAAGGAGAAAATGTCCAGAATGCACACAGATAGCTTACAAGTGGCTACAAAACTATCATGGATTTTCTGCTCGATTTACATGGAATTAAAACTGTGGTTGTTGGCCGGGCGCGGTGGCTCAAGCCTGTAATCCCAGCACTTTGGGAGGCCGAGACAGGCGGATCACGAGGTCAGGAGATTGAGACTATCCTGGCTAATACGGTGAAACCCCGTCTCTACTAAAAAAATACAAAAAAAAAAAAAAAAACTAGCCGGGCGAGGTGGCGGGCGCCTGTAGTCCCAGCTACTCGGGAGGCTGAGGCAGGAGAATGGCGTAAACCCGGGAGGCGGAGCTTGCAGTGAGCTGAGATCCGGCCACTGCACTCCAGCCTGGGTGACAGAGCGAGACTCTGTCTCAAAAAAAAACAAAAAACAAAAAACAAAAAACTGTGGTTGTTATACATCATCCGACTTTTAGTCAACAGTCAGCCGTTATTCAAATTGTGGCAGTAAATTAGTCAGCTTATTCTGACTTCCTGTTTTTCCTAATTCTTTGTCAGCCCTACTCTGATGTTCTGTTCTTTACAATTCTTTATCAGTACCTCCTACACAGTCCCTGATAGCTGGGACTGCGGTTGCCTCTGACAGTATGTTTACCTAACAGAACATATAGTTGGTCACATTTTTCAACAGCTCTGTTTCTCACATCACACAAGATCATAAGGAAATTCCGAATCACAGTAGAGGCTAAAGCCTGGGAATCCTGACCCTAAGTTCTATAATGCTGAGAACTTGCTTAAAACTTTTTTTTCTTCTGACACTACTGCTGCTGACCTGTAAACATCTCAGTCATCTAATTATAAGTACAGTACCTTCCTGTCAAAGAGTTTTGAAATATATGGCTTAAAGTAGTGCTCCTTTATTCCTTTTGCTTCTACTAGAAGTCCATCATGCAGTTCACACAGTACAGCAATGATGCAGGGCGGCTCTTCAGAAGCCCTAAAGTCAGCAGTATGAAAATCAGACGGTAAACCTAGTTTGACAGTGTAGGAAGAGCAGAGGGAAAAAAAAAATATGCTCAACTTTCAAAAATCTTTTCCAAAAACTGATAATCAGTTTTCAAAAATAAATAAAAGGTCTTACCTTTAAATGATGGATTTAGCAAGTCTTGTCTATTTGGGCACATAATCGCATTGGCAAAAATCAGATCCAAGCAGCATAGAAGTAAATGATAAGAGTTTACTAAGTCATCCCCAATCATCCGAAAATTACCTTTATAAGGGGGGAAAAAAAGAAAAGACACAAAAACCAGAAACCTCTCAAGTCAAATAGAACCAAGTTCCCACAGTAGAAATGTAAGACCACTGAAAGTGTCATCTTACCCTTAGTATAAACAAAAAGTGTCCAACAGAAATTAAACAGATCCTTAACACTGCAAGGAATCCTCCTAAAAAGGGAAAAAAATTACTTTTTGTCTGACTAGCTTGCTAAATATCATGTAAACTGAAATAGTAAATATAAATATCAAATAGATCAAATTACACATGAAATTCCATTCATGAAGAAAAGTTATCTACTATTTATGAAATGGACTTAAGTAAGCCTTTACAATCTACATAAAATAATCAGAACATAGGGCCAGGTGCGGTGGCTCACGTCTGTAATCCCAGCACTTTGGGAGGTCGAGGTGGGTGGGTCACCTGAGGTTATGAGTTGGAGACCATCTTGGCCAACACGGTGAAACCCCATCTCTACTAAAAATATAAAAAATCAGCCAGACAGGGTGGTGCACACCTGTGACCCCAGCTACTCAGGAGGCTGAGATAGGAGAATTGCTTGAACCTGGGAGACAGAGGTTGCAGTGAGCTGAGATCACGACACTGCACTCCAGCCTGGGCAGCAGAGCAAGACTCCATCTCAAAAAAAAAAAAAAAAAAAAGAAAAATAAGTAAAAGTATTATTCTGAATTTCCAAATATGGATAATTGTACATGGATTTAAAAAGAAAATAATTAAGCTCTTTGCAGGAATACTTTTCATAAAAAACAGACTTTCGAAAAAGTACATTCTCTTAGTTTGTATCATAATCTTTTTGTCAATTATGTAAGGATTAAGGGCTCACCTCTGCTTCCGGCTTCGCAGTAACTTTGGTGGTTCTTCATATGGATTTTGAAATATATCTAAAAAAATTGGCTCATATTTTTTGAATATTACAGTAGACACCTCAAAATTTCTCTCTAGCCTTTCTATACGTTCACGAAATTCTTGTGGTAGATTTGACATGTCCATCCACTTCTTCATTTTACTAAAAAATTGTATTAAACTAAAAAAAAAAAAGGGAGGAGAAAAAAGTCACCTTTAAAATTCATTTATATAACGGATTGAAAGGAAATATTCTATTCACGACTAAGATTCTTTATTAAAAAGCCAGACCTCCCAGGCAACATAGTAAGACCCCAACTCTACAAAAATTAAAAAAATTATCTGGGTGTGGTGGCACGTGCCTGTAGCTCCAGTTACTCCGGAGGCTGAGGTGGGAGAATTGCTTGAGTCTAGGATGTCGAGGCTGCAGTGAGCCTCGATCATGCACTCCAGCCTGGGTCACAAAGCAAGACACTGTCTCACATGAACAAAGAACAAACACCATCCCTCAAGCCTAAATTTAATTAAAAAAAAATCCTCATTATGAAACCACTTTGGTTCCCAGGATCACCAGGAGAATACAGGTTATTAATTAGTGGTCATCACATAGAGCGTTACTTCTATGGAGGGAGCAAGAGCGCCTATCTACTTCCTTTATTCTCTATATTACCTAGACAGTATTCTGCATAAAATTTACACAGTTAATGTTAGTTAACAGATTGATAGGTTATAAAATTAGTTTGAGGAAAAACAGAAGTCTCCCAAATGGAAAGACAATTTCATTTTCCAAATGGGAATTTGATTATGAAGCACCAGATTGTTATAGGTTAGGAGTAAAACTCAAGAGTTTGAGTTCCAATGCGTGGTTCCACCACCAAAAGTAAAGGTAGCACATACTCAGAAAAAAACTTAATAGCTCTGCTGCCCAGGCTGGAGTGCAGTGGCACCATCTTGGTTCACTGCAACTTCCACCTCCTGTGTTCAGGCAAGCCACCGCGCCCAGCCCAATTCTGGGTATATTTTTTTATGTCTGTATGTTAGTGTGGTCTTAGATAGAAAACTTGCAATGTCAAAGCTCACTTAATTAAAGGTCTAGCAATATACACAGAATAATACTTGTAATTTTTTTTTTTTTTTTTTTGAGATGGAGTCTCACTCTGTCACCCAGGCTGGAGTGTAGTGGCATGATCTTGGCTCACTGCAACCTCTGCCTCCCAGCTTCAAGCAATTTTCCTGCCTCCACCTCCTGAAAGCTGGGACTACAGGCACGCACCACCATGCCCGGCTAATTTTTGTATTTTTAGTAGACGAAGTTTCACCATGTTGGCCAGGATGGTCTTGAACTCCTGACCTCAGATGATCCAACTGCCTCAGCCTCCCAAAGTGCTGGGATTACAGGCGTGAGCCACCGCACTCGGCCCTATGTTCTGATTATTTCATGTATATTGGAAAGGCTTACTTAAGTCCATTTTGCCCAGCCAATACTTATAATTTCTTTTTAAGGTGACAGAAGACATTAACAGAAAATTATCCAATGCTATGTAATATGGTTTGGATGTTTTGTCCCCTCCAAATCTCATGTTGCAATGTAATTTCCTTGGCTGGGCATGGTAGCTCATGCCTGTAATCCCAACACTTTGGGAGGGTGAGGCTGGAGGATCATCTGAGTCCACCAGTTTGGAGGACCCAGCCTTGGGGCCGAACATCACGAGGTAGGAGGACCTCTACGGTGCCCGTCCTACAAAAACAAAAATGCTGATCAGTCTGGAGCTACCGGAGAGGCATAGGATAGCTGAGTGAGCTGAGTGAGCATGAAAGCATCCTCAAAAAAAAAAAAAAAAAAAAAAAAAAAAGTTAGCAAACATGTGGTGGCCTGTGGGCCCAGCTACTCAGGGAGCTGAGGCAGGAGGATCACTTGAGCCTGAGGGGTTGAAGCTGCAGTGAGTCATGAACATGCTATTGCCTGGGCAAGAGAGTAAAAGACTTTCAAAAAAATAAAAAAGAGGCCGGGCGCGGTGGCTCACGCCTGTAATCCCAGCACTTTGGGAGGCCGAGGCGGGTGGATCACGAGGTCAGGAGATTGAGACCATCCTGGCTAACAAGGTGAAACTCTGTTTCTACTAAAAATTAGCTGGGCATGGTGGCGTGAGCCTATAGTCCCAGCTACTCAGGAGGCTGAGGCAGGATAATGGCGTGAACCCAGGAGGCGGAGGTTGCAGTGAGCCGAGATTGTGCCACTGCACTCCAGCCTGGGCGACAGAGCAAGACTCCGTCTCAAAAAAATAAATAAATAAAAATAAAATAAAATAGAATAAAAAAGAAAAGTGACCTCCAATGTTGGAGGTGGGCCTAGTGGGAGGTGTCTGGGTCATCAGAGCAGATCCCTCATGAATGGCTTGGTGCTGTCCTCATGGTAATGAGTTTAGTTGTCACTCACCTGAGATCTGGCTGTTTAAAAGTGTGGCACTTCCCACCCTCAATTGCTCCTGCTCTCATCATGCAATGTGCCTCCTCCCCCTTCACCTTCCACCATGACTGTAAACTTCCTGAGGCCCTCACCAGGAGCAGATGCCAGCCCCATGCTTCCTACACGGCCTGCAGAACCCTGGGCCAATTAAATTTCTTTTTTTAAATAAGTCACTCAGCCTCAGGTATTCCTTCATAGCAATGTAAAATGTCCTAATACAGCATTCAAACTCTGGACATGCTGATTAAAATCTGACACTCTTAAGAACCTCATTAAAAGATTCTTATCAATAGCAGCAAAACATTCGTCAGATTACTAAACATTTTTTTGGCTTACAAAAAATTATGCTCCCTTACAAAGGACTTCAAAAATGTTGTTTTTTGGCCAGTGCAGTGGCTCACACCTGTAATCCCAGCACTTTGGGAGGCCAAGGCAGGTGGACGACCTGAGTTCAGGAGCTTGAGACCAGCCTGACCAACATGGAGAAACCCTGTCTCTACTAAAAACACAAAATTAGCCAGGCGTGGTGGCGCATGCCTGTAGTCTCAGCTACTCGGGAGGCTGAGACAGGAGAATTGCTTGAACCTGGGAGGCAAAGTTGCGGTGAGCCGAGATCGCACCATTGCACTCCAGCCTGGGCAACAAGAGCGAAACTCCATCTTAAAAAAAAAAAAATTGTTTTTATATTTGGATGATCACATTTTGCATGTGAAACCCTTTGCTTTGAGGACATTTCCACTTTTGAGCCCTGTCTACCACTAGACAGATCAGCTTTACTGGAAGCTAGGATGAAGGCATATAATCATATTCTTTGTCAGATACATCTGCCTGAGATTTTGAATCTGAAGCTGGTGGTGCAGAGAAGTGAAGAAGTGGTAATTTCTTACAGCAGGATCAAGCTCCCGGCACAAATAAAGTGGCAATGTCCAGGGACAGCATTGCTAGCTATGCAAACTGCGTCCTTGCTAAATGGATTCTGTGATACGGTTTTTGGCTGTGTGGCCACCCTCCTTTTGTTCCTGGCCTTTTCTAAGCCTAGTTTTCTTAAGTCATCCTAAAGATTTTATCACCTATCCAATACTTCTTTTAAGTCAGCCGAAGTTGATAAGTGACATCTTTTATTTTTTTGAGATAGGGTCCTGCTCTGTCACTCAGGCTGGAGTACAGCGGCGTGATCGTGGCTCACTGCAGGCTCGACTTCCTGGGCTCAAGTAATCAATCCTCCCGCTCCAGCCTCCCAAGTAGCTGGGACAACAGGTATGTGCCCCCACACCCAGCTAATTTTAAAATGTTTTTTAGAGACAGGGGTCTCACCTTTTGTTGCCTAGACTGATACCCGCTTTTTATAAACAAGAGCCTTGACTACTACACCATCATATAATCCATTGCACATACTGCTCTCCCAAGAATGGTTTTCCTAACCTGGAACAAAATGCATCAGAATGTTTGAAAACAAAAAAACCTTATAGCACTGTTATAACTTAAACCATGATTACAGTTTTTAAAACTAAAATAAGAAGCAAAGTAAACTTCACAGCTTTCAATTCATTGGGATTCTGTTATAAAGAATATGATACTGCTGGGTGTGGTGGCTCATACCTATAATCCCAGCACTTTGGGTGACTGAGGTGGGAGGATTGCTCGAGCCCAGGAGTTTGAGACCAGCCTGGGCAACCTAGTGGGACCTCATCTCTCCAAAATATTGAAAAATTAATTAGACTTGGTAGTGTGCACCTATAGTCCCAGCTACTCAAGAGGCTGCGGTGGGAAGATTGCTTGAGCCCAGGAGGTCAAGGCTGCAGTGAGCTGTAATCACATCACTGAACTCCAGCCTGGATGACAGAACGATGATTATAGGTGTGAGCCACCATGACTGGCTCACAGTGAACTTGCAAAATAAGTTTTAGTAATATATTTGGCCTGATTATTTGCATAGGGGGCAATAAGAATAGTGAGTGGCCACCTAGGCTCTTTTAAGTTGGTTTTGTTGGAACATTCATAAGGAATTTTGGATTAGACTTTTAAAAGCCTTGAGGCTAAGAAGACAAGCCAAGGATCCATCATCAGACTGTTCCCATAATACCTGTATGCACTGGGTGAAATCCTCTCTTCCTGAAGTCCCCAGAATATCTTGAGGTTCCTGGGCTTGTGAGAAAGTGACATTTTTTACTTATTGCAAGGTCAGGAACCTTGTTAGGGAATCTTTGAACAATGATTGCTCAAGGAATTGCTTTGATCAAAAGGACAGTCATGTAGTCTGAAACAGGTTCCAGGATCACTTCTCTCTTGTTTAAAATTCAGCTTTGGTCCTTTGTAATATTACCCCCTCCATTGGACTCAACTTCTTAGGAATGAACCTTCCTTATGATGTGAGATATTGACCTAAATATGACCCAAATACATGATTGTTCTGCAAAGGCGAGTCAATCTTCCCAATCTTTTTTATCAGCTCTATAAAGTAAACCTTGGCTGGTGCAGTGGCTCACACCTGTAATCCCAGTGCTTTAGCGCTTTAGGAGGCAAAGGCAGGAGGATCTCCTGAAGCCAGAAGTTTAAGACCAACCTGGGCAACAAAGCCAGACCCAGTCTCTAAGAAAAAACAAAAAACAAAACAAAACAAAAAGTTAGCCAGGCACGGTGGAGTGCACCTACAGCCCCAGCTACTTAGGTCACTGAGTCAAGAGGACAACTTGACCCCCAGAGTTTGAGGCTGT